GCAAGGATGGCGCGGGAACTACCGTACAAAAGGGCAAGAAAAACACAAGTAGCAGTTCTCCTTTTTGGATTCTTCTATCTTCATCGTGACGTCACCGCCGTTCGTCGTCAGCTTCACTACACTCGCCACCCAGCTCCACTACCTCATCAACCGTTCAATCTATTCTTATCGTATTCTTACTCATTAATTGCTGTCACTAGTTTCATAAAGTTGTTAGTTTGAAGAGTTCTACTGTGACCACGAAAAAAAAACAGGGGCACACACACATCCCACAATATTGATTGTATTCTCTGATATTGTTTTGGAGCTCCATTCACCTGGATTAGTCGACTATTTCTTGTTGTTGTGGTTTAATTGATAGAAATAGAAACGATAAATACCTTTCTACTGTTCAATTTCAACAAGCAGTAGATGTCAAGTAGCAGAGCGATAGTTGCTAACGTAACATTATAGATCAGATCTTGATAAAGGGAAAGTGCATTGCCGCAACTCTCATCACTGAACTTGAATAGTTGAAACTGCGGATCGAATTTAAAACTGCAGCTGCCTGAAATGAATACATAGTCTTAGTTCAGCAAATTTTAGTTCGCTAGTCAGTATTCGCCGTAAATCACATGGATATTGGATATCATCTACATAATGATCAAGCCGTTTTTTTTGGGGAATTTCAATTTTTTTTCCGGAAATGCGAAATTTAAATAGATCGAGATCGAGGGACATGAAGTTGGATACGATCCGCGGCGGATCGAACATCAAACTCCGTCCAACTTTTTCATTTGGTTGATGAGCACTTTCTGACCTGCTGTCTACGAAGAATAGGAAAGTTTGCTGTGAAATATGATTTGCTTTTATTCGATGCAATGCTTGATGATTGAATTGTGAGTGTTCCTTGAAGATCTTGAAGTAACCAAAAACTAGGATTCCGCTCGACGAATGTACTAGATTTGGTTCTACGTTCTACTCAAAAGAGCTTGACCCACGACGCCTATGTAGAGCCGCAATGACTGCATAAGACAAATGGTTACTACAACAACGAAGAGAATGATGAGCATGTCCATTACATCTATCAGCACATCGATCCTTGTCATTAATACATTGAAAAGTCTGTTTTTCGGGAAAAGATGGAAATCGGACTGACCTTTTAAGTGGATAATATTATGTGTCCATGCAAGCAACCAACACACTGCGATCCAAACTTTAACTGTCCTATTGTTGAACCATTTACTGTAGTGTTGAGGAAAAGCGAGAGCGACGAATCGATTGATGGTTATCGTTTCCGAAGTGTAAATGCTTGAATACTGTAGTGATAATGTTAAATAACCAACGACAGGGTCAAAATCTTCACGAATCCAGCGGCCACTGAAAAATCAAATCACTGAGTTCCTATTTTGTCATCATGGGAAAACCATAGGTTCGGAACTACAGTTTCGAACAGAACGCCGAAATCTCTCCAATATTGGAGGCACGATAAAAACGATAAAAATGGCCCATGAGATATCCCCTAAGATAAATTTGTGGTTTCCTCGTATACCGTGAGCGACACTGTCAGGTCGGAAAATGGCCTAGATAAAGCGTTATAAAGGCTACAAGGATGTCTCTGTGTATCATCGAACGAGTTTCACTGGCCTGTAGAGGCTGTATAAATCACAAAGGAGCCCATGAATGAAGTCCAAACAACTTGTCATAACCAATAGCAACGGTAAAAGTTAGTCTTGTGCAGTTCTGGCTTGATGTAGTCAGCTCTTTGCGCAATTGCAACAAATGAAATCTCGCACCCCTTCCATGTTATTTCCGTTATGGTAGTCCCCTCCACAGACTTCCTTGCCCACTTTCAAGGAGCCTTATTTTTTTCGGAATCGCTTTATTCTCTACCGTACCTCGATGTTATCGTAAACTGTGCCTTCAAATGAAACTGTCAACTTCGTAAAGTTAGTCAGGAACCATATGTTCTGATTCGTATTTTCACAGTTTCCCAGTATTATATGTAGCCAACTGGCGACAATGAGATGTGGAGCGATTGTGATGAAGTAGCAGCAAACTACAACAGACAACAGTACTCTCACACAGCAGATGAAGTTCCGTATCGGTATTTTGTCCAGGTCCACCGAACCTTCTATCCCTTCCGGGTCAGTGATGCCAGACTCGTCTAGGAGGATAAAAGCATTGATTCATACATGATCGGCTGGCCACCGCTAGTCATTTTATAAGCCCCACACTCATCCGAAACGCCTTCCTGTCAACGCCTGGCCAAAGTGTGACATATAGCAGCTCTTCCAAGAATACCAGTTGTATAGTTACATACCGAGAAAGCTGTCAGAATAGATCAAACATGACTCACAAAAGTAGCTGTGACGACACAAGCGCTATAATCATAACGAGCGTCGTGAGACCATCGGCTGTGAGCTTTGAAAGAATCAAATATTGGAATGGGCGAAGTGGACGGCGAAATAGTAGCAGTTGTGACATGACAAACATTAATGGCAGGAGTGCCAATATACCCAGCTGAAAGAGACTTTGCTGAAGTTAACTCATGCAACTGGCCAAAGTGTGACATATAGCAGCTCTTCTAAGAAAACCACTTGAATATTTACATAGAGATTATCTTATGTAGTAATATGACATATACATACCACCGCCATCAATATTCCACTTGCAATCGGCTCCATTTAAAAAGCAGTCGGAATAGATATAAATTTCCCGTAGATCCCGAACTGAACGTTGAGAAAATTATCGGTGAGCAGTCTGATAAGTGTATATTGTACATACTTCACAAACCCCACGCTATAAATTACAAAACAATGGTAATGGACTTCATTCCGCTCGGCTTGAAAAGAATGCATACATCAAAGGACCGAGAATCCGAGCAAGAGCAATCATCTACTACGGTGCTCTATGAAAGCATCGGAAAATCATCCTAACCTTCATGCTTCTATCTCAGCTAAAATGTCTGTTCAAGAAGCCCACAGGTCAAGCAACTACTGTCTTAATTCCCGCTAACGACTTCGACTCAAATCATTCGACCGGGAATAAATGGAACGAATCTTGTATGGCTAGCCCTACTTCGACAATTAGGAAGGTCCTGAAAATGTTAGTTGGGCCGCGTGGCGCTACTAGTAGAACTAACTACTAGTTAAAAAGACGTCAATAACGACGAGAAAAGACATTTTTCGCTTGAAAACTGCATTTGTCAGTTGCAAGCTGATCGCTCCACAAAGACAGTTGAAAAGTAAAAGAATCGCATAGACGTGAATGATGAGATCAGTCAGGAAAGGAACACCAATAGGCTCCTCGATCTTCCAGAATTAGCCTGATAAATTCACTATAGTTTCCTGCCGCCCCTACTGTATTTATTCTAAGGAAGAGGGAGGGGGTTTACTCGGTGGGAGAAACTGCTTGAGTTCATAATGCCATCAGTTTAGTGCAAAGAGTGAGCGAGAAATAGCAGCATAGGCTTTTTTTCGATAGGTCCTAATATGTATTCGGAGCCTGAATGAACAGTTCAAGGAAAGTCTGCAAAATAGACACCCAACGTTCTAAATGCTTAGTAACAAGGGTATGTATAGTTAGTGGGCTAGCACGTTTTGAACACAGGCTTGTTCATCCTGTATGGATGGAAATCACTCTTCAATTACACACATCTGCGCTGTTTTCCGACATGTGGAATAGTAGTAATTTACTAGTTTCATAACTACTAATGATGACGGAATGTCAGATGTTTGTTTCGTTGTCTCGATGACATCAAATTGGTCTACTACAAGAGGCTCTTTTCAAGTGTTTATAGAATGTTTTGCTAAGAACAACGGAAAAGTGCTCGTGTATATTTTCCTAAAAGACTTACAATTTGAAATTGAAAACAACTTTTCTGGATACTGAGGAAGTTGCAGTCTTTTTATTATATAATATGTCTACAGGTTCAGTTGTCGGAACATGTCGAAAGGATGAAGCACTTTGAGGCATTGATCCGCAGAGTTTGTCCTGCTCTCTGCTTCCATTCAGAATCGCAGTGGCGCTTAGAATGCATATGGTCCCTACATACAATGATTTCCGTTGGTCAGCCTATATACACTTCAAAGCTTCGAACCTATCAGATGACGCTGGTACCCGTACGGCTGAAAGCCTCGTGGGAGGCATGGGTGATTCAATCACCGGACCATGCATGTTGTACATACATAGTAGTGTACGCTACTTGTCACTACACCTCGTCCGCCTATGGAGAAACATGTATGAGAAGAATTTTTGAATGAAGATACATTATAGTTCCCAATCGAGTATGTAATCGCTCTGGTACCGTACCTTAGTTTTCGTGCTTATAAGAAAATTATGCTGATCTTATGACAGTTGAAGTATTATGATTTTAGGTAAGGAATCAGGAGAACAATCGCTGTCAGATACATCCACAAGATCAGGCGTTTTTGACCATCCCGTGTCCATCAGATGTTTTGGCAACATTCAAAACAACGGCGGATTTGTGACTCGGAAATGTGCTTCTTTGTGCACCCTCGTTTTTTGTTGATTGTTGCACACATAAGGGTAGAAAGACGGGAAGGGAACTAAGCATGCAATGATGTAAAGGAGAGCTGCAATCTGACGAATAGGAGTATGTATAGCAACATTGAGAGCATCTACGAACATTGAGGAGCCAGTGAAAAACGGGATCATCCGGTTTTGCAGTCACAAAGTCTAGCACTTAGCATCCGAAAACTTCAGTGTTGAAATGATTGTTAGGATTTTTTGTGATAGCCGCACGCTCATTGAACTCTGGCGAGTGGTTGGTGACAATTATATGTTTTCTCTTGTGGAATACTTTTTTTTAGAACAGCAACTAATGACCGAGCAGTTGAACGTTACTACCTTTCTCAACGGTTTTAATGCAAATCAACGATGAGCTACTTACTTTTAAGCTGTTAGCATAGAGCACAGAAACAAATTCGTAAGGCCTTGCCTGTTAATGTGAAGTTCTTGTCTTCCTTCTTCTTTTTCTATTAACATTTATTAGCCTCTCAAGATTTTCGTTTATACTCAGTGTATAGCGTCTCGTTTTCGTGGATCGATGATGTTGTGTTTGTGTGAATTCCATGCACCTCTTCATCCTTTTCAACTTGTTCACCCTGTTGCGCGATAGTCGGCGAATGACGGTCGTTCCGACTCAACACCCAAAACGTTTCCATCACTCCTTTTCCCTAAATGTATAGGCATAGTAGAATCTTCACACATTCTTGTACATAAAGTAGGCAAAATATCAGCCCTATACATCGAAGATGACCTCAAGAGTTTCATTCAGTTCAGATTGAATGTTTGCTGAGAATCATCTAATGTTTAAGCTGGTTTCGATGGCTATAACTTCCACGTGGTTTTGTTGTCATTACGCCCAACCGCATTCTGATAAATTGCAATGATTGACAGAAAATAGATATTTTCGATCAATATCTATGACATCCATGGATCGATGGCGGGTCAATTGTTGGTAGCAGACTCGTCTTGAAGGTTGGAAGCACTGATTCGTACAACGGTTTGCACGGTGGCTGCTACCCGAATTCATACTGTACAGGCCACATAAGCAGTCATATCACTACTACTCCATCTTTGTATGGAACTCGAATGCATGGGGGAGAGAGGGAGAAAGCATCCTGAAACGGGACTAACTGATGATAGAGAGTTTCCCATACGTATTCAGTGTGACGGTCCAAAACCAATCTGAATGCGCCGCTTTCTCGTAGAAGTAGATGGCTCAGTTAGTATTCCATTGAAAACCGGGCCTCCACTCACTAAACTAACCTTTATGATCACTTCACCTCGTCGTTGGGTTTCATATTGGGATGGATACGTAGAAACAAGCAAAGTGTGAGCCGATCCAGAAAGATGGATGTGACTTGCTAAACAAGTTTTTTACATCTTTAGGGATCATTCGTCTAGAGAATTATGCTGTTCTTACGTTTCCCATTGCTTTCCATTCTGGAAGCTGTATTTACAGTGTCACCGAAGAGACAGTAACGAGGCATACTGAGTCCCACCACTCCTGCAACGCACGCTCCTGAAAAACGGCTACTTTTTTTGGCATGAAGACGTTTTTCTTCTACTGAAGACATATGTAGTTTGCGGTAGAAGTTAACAGGACAGGCAAATTAATAATGAGGTATCCGAACAGAAAAAGAGTTATGTGGATTCACTGCAGCCTAGAAAAAGTTCTGGAGGTGCTGGTCACGATGAGTATACATGACGATCAAATACATGGTAGGCGGAGGTGGTTTAGTGGCAAAAGATCTATTATCATGCAACCGTGGTCGGAGGACCGTATCCAAGTTCCATCTTCGCCCAAGTCCGCCGAGCTTTCCAGCTCTTCAAGGTCAGTTTATCTTCACCAGACTCTTTGAGGTGATGAAAACACTGACTTGTGCGTCATCTGGCCACTCAAAGTCATTGTTAAGCCAGGCACGCATTTTCTTTTTTCTTTTCTTTTTCACCTTTTCCCTTACACGTTCCCATTACGGTGTTTAAGTCGAGCACACGGCGCATCCTACAATATGGATTGGTTGAGGCTGAAGACTTTATTCCTTATACTCTAATGTTATAATACGAGACGAAACGAGAGGACACGAGCTGGAACCAAAGAAACGGTTCCATCATAACAAACCTGTACGGCAAAGAATTGTGAAATATTATGTAACATGCTCGGTTTCAAGAAGACCGAACGTGGAATTTATGATACGACTCACTTTCATGGGCCGGTTTATTATTGCAGTTACGGTTTCCTATTGCCCCGCATTCCGGTTGCAAAACTTTATACACACTTCATACTATAGAAGGTGATGGATGCAAGGAGCAAATCAGAAAATCCATCAGCGGAAAAATGGGGCTGAATGCTAGGAACCATAATCCTAGTGGTTCAATGCTGCGAGACCACTATCCACGCCTCGCCCTCGCGCAATTCACCGCAAATTGTTAAGCGTTTGGCTTCACCGATTTTCTTAGAGGCCCTGGAGTTCACCTCTTGTGTTGTGCAATCCAACCTACCTATTTCAAATAAAAGAAGTCAATGAAATCTGACTAACCGCTGTTCACACCTATCCGAAGCTCTACCCTCTCCCTTGGGAGAGGGCGAAATCGATACTGCCTTACATAGTCCATAAATGCAAGAGACATATCCACGATTTGCTTGATATGGGCATGTCCATTGCGAACCGGTAGACCAGAAACGCAAAGATATCCATCGCCAATAGATTCAACCTTAGAAACGTGCTTTAAAAATGAGGCAGTTGTTGAAAAACTGAACCGAGCTTCTTTCCCTGCTAGATAACGCTTCATTTTTCTTCAAATGAGTAGTTACAGTAGTGCCACAAAAAGAGAAGTGGTTGGTCAGCTACTACTACCACCTAGTCAGCTCAACTCTCCAGATTTCAGCATTTTCTCGAAAGGGGTAGAGAGGGGGTGTAGAGCTGCAACGTCTTTACACAATGAGTGGGCACGAGGCTTCCCCCGTCACCTCACCGATCAAGGTGATGCAGTCATAAGTCCTGCCTCATCTATAAGCTAAACAATAATGACGAAGGTCAGAGTAGGACTAGTTAGGGTTACATTGACTATCACAGGATTGTTTAGGTGAAATCCTTAGTAATTTGTCTCAAAGTGCGTAGAAATACCTGTATATAGAGGTTTTCTATTGCAAAAGTGAAGTTCCCTCAGGGCAAAGATGTTAATTGCAACAGAGTCAATTACGATCCATCACTTTTGAAGGCACAGTTCACGTTAGTTTTTAGGTACCCCTTTTCAATCGCGAAGCGGAAGAGTAGGTTGGAAATAGTTTATTAGAAGTAAAGAAGGCGAGAAAGAAAGATTCCAAGAAAAACAAGGTTCCTCGAAAGTAAGGGAAATAGAGGCTGGACGAGATTACCATGACGGAATGGACATGGAAGGGGTATTCGGACGAGATTTCAGTTGTTGCAACTGCGCAAAAAGCTTAGAGCGAGCCAAAACGATCTAATTTGATTTGATTTATTACATGTTGAGGAACATGTGGAAAACTGTCAGAATTACCTTTCACTGTCGCTATGGGTAATGACATATTTCTGAAATACCTTCATGGGTTCCCTTGTGGTCGATGCAGCCTGTACAAGCCGATGGAACTCGTCCGGGGATACACACGGTGCAATCTTTGGGCCTTAACAATGCCCTATCTAGGCCACTATCGGACCTGATAGCGCCAGATCTGGTGTGCGGGTGGGGGGCTCAAATTCATCCTATGAAGAAATCCCAGAAATCATTTTTGTCGTGAACTGTGTCTTTAACCCCTCGCCAATCATGACCTTGTTGCCTTCTTACGGACCCTGAGTGGCTACCATTGGACTATCTGCTGGTCAGCTACATGAGCGAAACGAGAAAAATTATCTGACAGAAATAATACATACCTTGTAGACGTCGTGTTCTTCAATAATAGCGTCGAAGTTACTATAAAGTTCATTAAGAAGATTGACAACCTGTAAAAATGGTTTCAAACAGATTGCGCCTCTCAGAATGGGAGTAGACCAGCCTACTAAGCTACCTGGAAAGGTGTACACTTAGCGGATAACTGAGTAAATTTGACGACATCCGAGAAGAATACAGTGACACTGTCAAAGCTTTCCGGTTCTACAGACTGACCAAGTTTCAGACGCTCCGCCACCTGCCTGAAAATAAATCTGGAAATTTAGACGTTCTAACAGTAATCGACTTTTCAGAAAAATTCCATTCAAAGCGCGTGAAAAGGAACAGCAGCAACCCGCTGAAATTCAATGACAATTTGTAAAACCAACTATCGTAGTACCCAAAAATCATTGAGTCCATAGCTTCCCTACTACTTGATATCAAAAGGGAAGAGAAAAGAGTCTAATCGAACCTCGGCAACATCCTCCCCAGCAGAATGTCCGCTTTTTGTTTTTGCTCAGCCAGCTCCTTCGTTCGGTCTTCTACCTGGATGTGCAGAGCTCCTTTTCAGCAAATCTTATATCTATTATACATGATGACTGATCACCCACCTCTAATTCTAAGGTTGTGGTATAGTCCTCGAGCATAGCGAAGACATGATCCATCAAATTGGTTTTATTCCATGTTTTCATCATTTCCCTTATTTGAGTACATACAAATTCGATGTCTGGTCGAATTGCAGGGTTCTGATTCCAACAGTCTCTTACGAGACTCAGCTTAACTTGTAGATATTTCTGAGAGGGAGTCAAAGATACTTCAGTAATTGTTCACAGATATGTTTATGTGCTCAGTCGGATCGCCCTTTTAATTATTCCACCATTATTCGATTAGAGATTTGCAACGAAGGTCGTTACAAAAGAATCAGATCGTTGATGAGGTTTGCTAGAATACGGCGTCTTTCACATTGCCACCTGGAGCCCAAAAAGGCTCATTGACGTCCCTGTGTGAACAGTGCTTTAGGGGATCAGAAACTGGGAAATTGGATCTGACTTTGTGATATTTCGTGCAAGAGTCCTTCTTAGTGGACCCGCGGCATTGAATTGTTACAATCGAGTTACCTTCTACTAACCCCACCCCTTTCCTTTGTCCTTTTCTCAGACGATTTAGGCTGAAGTGTAGGTGACGCGAGTTCGCATCTTTTCATCCAAAATTTATCAACGTCACGAGTCGTTCTTCAATGGATGATATGCTAAGGCCGTGTGGCTTTCGGTAAGAGGAAATTCAGCGGCATCCGTGTAACGCTCTCAACCTTGCGGCCACTACATTCAGCACAAAAAAGACTTCACGGATGTAATAATTGTGGGAAGGCTTACCAAAGTATTACTGACATCCACACCATCCAGTGCTAGTTCTGGACGTATTGGCTCAAGACCACCCTTCTTAATACGATATATCAGCTCTAAAATGATCGTTATATTTTCCAAAACAATACAGTAATGGCAGCTCGAAGCTAGTTACCATCGACATTTTCAGCTCTCTCTGCGATATTCCATGCAGGTTTGCGAGTAATCACTTCAGAGCATATGATGGCAAACGAGTAGATGTCGCCTGGCTTTGATTCTCCCACAGGTGATTCAGCTAAGTGCTCTGGAGCTACCCATAGTGACACTGAAATGAACAGGTACAAAGCGTCAACGAAAAAGGCATTCCAGTATAACCGCGACTTCATGGATGTACTGAAGGAGCTCTAGATAAAATGGGATTAAAGGGGATTACTCAGATTTTGAGAAGAGTTCTGTGGCTTTGTCCCCGCTTAGTTCTGTCCACTTATCACGACTGGTGTGTATTTGTTTGTGAAATGAAAAATTAGTACCAGTGCCTATCTTCGTACCATGCCGCTTCTCCCCCTTCTCCCTCTTCTCTCTCTCTGCAGCACTGCAAATGTTTAATTACAGGTCGTCCCAAAAGTTAATGTGGGCATTTTCTTTCAATAAGTCCGTTTTACTCTGTAAACGATGGAGGGGTGGAGTATCGTAGTTTTGCACTTATGGCCATTGACTGGCTATGGTTTCATTTTAGTCAGTGACGTTCACTCACCCTTCTGTGCTTGACGATTAACACAGTGTGGTATTCCATAAGAGGAAATTTTGACCTGCCAACCATCATTGACAAGGCATGTGCTGGAACTCAGTGTGCCAACTGCTCCAACGAACGAGCGATGTAGATAGAAAAGTCCCTATTCATATTAGAGCTAGACAATATTCTTCGCGAAGTATTGAACTAAGCCGGAATGTTTTTAGGACTCACCTCGGAGATGTCTCGAATGATACAGACGATGAAGAAGGAGTCAAAAGTGAACGTGCCTTTGGCGATTATCGACTGAACAAAAGATAATGAATACTACTGTAACATATAGAAGCACTGCTTCAAATTCGGAAACCATCAACATTTGCTCACGAGCCTTTGCCCTTTGTGAAGCTAGGTCCAGTGTTTATGCTTCTTCCTTTCAAACAAATTTCATCCAGCTATAAGGACAGTAGCACTTCCACTGGGGGACGAGTTGCCTTCATTTATGTTGCAAGGGTATGAAGTCGTTCAGAAAGTATCACTTGTATCACCTGTCGTCCCGTTGAGCATTTAGGGCAGAACATTCTTTTCGTTCAGAGCTTTCGTGAGGAAGTCTGACCATCGGGCCTTCGGTCCCCCTGGTGTTCGTTTGACGTCCTGAAAGACCAAGTCCGTAATCGCTCTGGTCCAACAGTCATTACGATATCGCACTGCGTGTGCAGCTCATTTTATCTTCGATTTCTTGGGGTAAGCACCAACATCCCTGATTTTCGTTCATTGACGGAGCTCGGAACCCCGGACTCCTTTCTTCATTTGCGTGTAAGGGTGAATTCCGAGCATCGCCCTTTCCACAGCGCGTTGAATGAGGCTGGCTGCATGCTCGTCCTGCTTTCGTAGAGCCCAAGCCCCTGAGGCGTATGTCAAAGCAGGAAGGACCGCAATGTCGAAAAGGTGAGCGCGGAGCCGGATGTTCTTTGTCTTCTTCACTACTCCCTCGATATTCTTAAATGCTCCCCACGCGGCGCGTTTCCTTCTGCTCAGCTCCGGTGCTTGGTCGTTCATTATATTGACTCCTCTCGATACACGTAGCTAAGGCTTCAGATATGTTCGTTCCGTCCAGCGTGTAAGGAGCATCAGGTGAAAAGTCCACCACAGATCCGGCAGTATGCTGCCGACGATTCAATCATGCTTTTGCTATTTTATAAATCGTCAGGCAGCATAAGTTTGTTATTCCACACTTGACTGTGTTTACTTCGGTCAGCTGTCAGCGGACATTTATTGATTTGATTGTTTTTTCTTACAACTAGTAGGCTGTATTTTCTGAGACTGATGTTGTAGTTGGAGATGATAGTTTATGCTTACCAGGAGGTTCTTTCGGGTTGAAGATAGACTGGCCATATTGGTTACCGCACGATCGCATATTTTGGCATTTGATATTCAGAGTTTCTTTCATATGTTGAGCTTTATTTTAGCTGTCAAACTTTTAGTTTTGGCCCTTCATCATTTTATTTCGTTTATTCATCTTGAAATCTGATTGAAATTGAGGTCAACTACCTGGAGGCTTCCGCGAGAGCAAATTCTCCACACGACCATAAACTGGTTGCTGTCGATGGACATCCCAATGAATTTGTTCACATTGTCGTGATCAAGTTTACGTAGCTATAAGTCAAAATATGTCATCTGATCCTATGGTCAAAGCTTCTAGGCACAGTCTTTTTGTGATTGTAAAAATGTGCATCACTAATCTAGCTTCAGATGGGGAGTGTCGGAAAAATCAGAAATGTATTTTCTTTGGCAGTTGGTGACCTTCCCCTTTAGAGCACAATCCGAAAGTCAGTGACTGCAAGATTGGCAGAGTCTCTTCCGAGAGCTGGCCTTCTACGAATTTTCTAAAGGTTGATAAATGGGCTTTCAGGAACCCTTTGAATCTTAAAATCACCACAGATTAAACAGCAGGGAATTATTTGGAAGAATTCGAGTGCAGGTACGTATAACAATACATGATCGATTACTCCAAAGACTTAATTCCTTTCCTTTCTCACCTTCACAAAAAGCGTTCTCTCAGCAGAGGTGAGTTGGAGCGGAGTGTGCTTGGTGACGAGGACCATTTCCTAGGAAAGAGAACAGCTTATTTCAGCACTAGCATCATAATAATTGATTCAATCACCTTGTTCATGGAATAAAGCTCATACTTGCTCTTATCGTTATCGAATACACTATCCCCTGTCACTGTAGAAGGACCAGACTGGAGAGATCGCCGGCTTCGTCGATCAACCTAAGAAAATACTTAAGCACTACCGTAATCCAATAGCATAAATGGAGAGCCGGAAAACCTTTATTGGAACAAGTGTAACGGAAGGTATTTGCCATTCAGCGTTCAGCCTTGCCAGTTCCGCTCTCCTCGCTCTGCAAGCATAAGAGAACCGAGGTCATTAAAAATCATTGCAGCTATTCACCTTACTCACCGCACAGTGAAAATAAGCAAGCAAGTCAGGGATATCAGTAAAACAAGCGCCAGGGATGATCCAGCTATAATGTAGACGAGATACTGATTCCAGAATGACAGAGGGCATTCTGTTCCCGAGTAACCGCACAGAGGCCTTGTTAAAGGTCTGAAAAACACAGTATATTGAATGTTACAGAGGAAAGATATCGTTCAACAGACCTTATCCCCTTTCTCGTCTCCCAAATCGAAGTTGCTTCGTCGGTGTACAGAAGCGTGAGATTCTAAAGTGAATAAAAACGAGTGTTCAAGCAAAAGTAGCAATAAAGTAAGTAGCATTGCCAAAGGCAGAGTGTACGATAGATTGGGTGTGTGGAAATTGGGACTTATACATTTTAGATGTCTTCTACAGGCGGTGAAGCAGGACAACAATTCTTGTTCTTGTGCTTCACCACCTATAGACGTTAAGTTTTCTCAATGAGGGTAACTGAGAGCATGGATGATAGCAAGTGGACATCCATGATGTTTTGCTGCTTGGACCTCCCCCTTGTTGAAATCTCATTAATTTCAGCTATATAACTTGTTATTTAGATTTTACCCTTGAAATACCTCATATCTAATTTTGGGGTATCTGACTTTGTCATGGGGCTGAGCATTCGATTTAAAAAACGTAGGGAGAGCCGTGAATAGATAAAATATATGTGAGTCGAAACTTTTACCCTCCCGGTTAAGCCAGGAATCATGCTACTGACCCTGAAAAGATGAAGAGTTCTAGCACAGATCTTGGTACTTCGACCTTAGTCAGTACGTGCAGTAGCCGTAGCGGCCACTTAGCACAATCCCATCTCAGCCCTGTCTAATTCTACCTTGCAACTTTCCACTGGCACGTCAACCTACACAGAAGGGAAGGAAGTCGGACCCACTTATCATATCGGCTGCCTTTTACGCACCGGTACAGTGCGGAACTCACCACTTTTATCTCATCGGAGAGAGACATTTTCATAAACGCCTGTTGCTGACCATTTTTATCTATGCCATAAACTACGTAGAGCGGCACCCTAACGCTGTTCGAGTCAAATGTTACCTTACCAGTCAGTCCTAAATTAGTCAACTTTTGGTTCTAAACTTTGATAAAAACAAATTGAACCATTTACCGAAGAAGGAGTTTTGCATTGCTTTTGTCATCACACTTGCGCTCTTTCGACCATCCGGTTCAAGAGAATCTGCTTTTCTTAGAGCCGATCCATACGCATAGAAGGCATCATGGAGATGTCTAGCAAAAGAAGCCATCTGAAAGAGGACATTCGTTGATTTCGTTTTCGGCTTCACATCACGGAGTTATAGCATGGTGCTTGGAGGCACACTTCACGATAATCATAGGTATCCAGATTGTGACGAAAAATGGAAGGTAAGATGGGAAATAGTGCGATGAAGGCAAACAAACTGCGTGGATCGGCGTTTCCAAAAAGAAAAAAGGCTTCGAAAAATCATTAAAAGGGGGCTGGACGAGAATGAGACCAGAAAAATGAAGAAGAGTGGGGCGTTTGGACGAGCTATGCAATGTGGGTCATT